AGTGTTTTATACGGTTTTTCTGTAATGCGTAATACTTCAAAATGTCAAAATATTTAGCGCATATCTATCCATATGCACAGCGCTATCGCTTTGGGTGCAACCACTTTTTTTGAAGCCCACTGCATGTATACAGCTTTCGATTCTCCAGAAATAAGGTTTCCTTTGCCGTTCTTGCTGTTACATAAGAGATTCAGTTTTCATGCATAACTTTAGAAGGTTGTGGCTCTTTTTATGCCAATGTATCAATATAAATAATATTCGAACTTTTGTGTACCTATTTTCAAAAAATTAAAATCAAATTTTTAATAAAAAAACTATTTATAAGCAAGCAAAATCCCCAATAAAGTAAAACTAATTACTTATGCAAGTGTTTGGGCGTCTATGCGCGCTTTCGGAAGCTATATCCTTGTAGTTGTGCAAGTATTTTATATTTGCTACAATCTATGTTTTTAAAATGACCAATCCGAATTTCATAAACCGTGCTTCGAGTGTAGCACAAGCGTTCTGGCAATACTTTTATGCACCAGGAACCACATAAATGGTGCCAAAGCACTCGTATATTTCGACTCTGCTAAGGCCAGGGGGCCAATGTCAAAACGACGGCGGAATTTTCTGCCGGCGGAAATTTTGTGTAGTGAAAACGCCGGCGGAAATTCTCGTGGTCAAACTGCCGGCGGAATTTTCGTAATTTTTAATTTTATTTATTGTTCATATTTCGAAACAATTTTGCAAGAAAATGTATCTTACATAGATTCGGGCTCCCCGTCTTCAGTGTAAACCTCTTTATCGGGCCGCATGTATGTGTATGTACAGTCTGCATGGGCGTTGTTGCGTCGGCAGTTTGCACAGAACGCGCGAACAAGTTCAACGGCATACCTGAGCCGCGCAAAAGAGACAAAGAAGGTATTTGACAATGGCACTGCGGCGAAGACACTGAGGTGCGGTCTAGTTTGATCCTTTGGAGCCTTTCGTGGGAAGACTCACAACTCCTCTGAATATCGACTGGCACAGCCAACTCAGACGAAGAATCTCTTCGCGCAGAGATCTCCCGGTCAAACTGCCGGCGGATTACCTGATTGGTATTCGAGCACGTACGTAAGTTGTTTTGTCATTGTGTCTTTTGTTTGCCTGTGCTTTTTTTAATTTTTCAACTTTTTAAAGTTGTAGTTCTCGTATGTTATTGTTGACTGTTTATCTGCCGAACGATGGAGTTGTTTTGAAACTAGCAGTAGTAGAAGTTTGTTTGACAAGAATACATGGATTATGGCTACATAATACATAGAATGTCCAGCTTGTTTTTACTGCATGAATTAGTTTACCAATAAGTTGGTTTTGTATCAATTCGTGATTTCCGTAAAAAATGCATGTTCAGAAAATTCCGCCGCAGTTTGACCACGAGAATTTCCGCCGGCGTTTTCACCACACAAAATTTCCGCCGGCAAAAAATTCCGCCGTCGTTTTGACATTGGTAGGGCCGTCGTTTTGACATTGGTAGGGTCGTTTTGACATTGGTAGGGCTTGGACCAGTACGGGAAGTATCCAGCCGCTACTGTTTTACTGGGAGAATTCTAACCGAAACTGCACAAACGTTCCAGCGTGCATGGCGGCGCATTTTTATGGGCTGGATACAGCGTCACACGGGTTGCATTCTTATGGGTTGCACCAAACTGTGCGCGTTTAACACCCATGCCGAAACATCTGTAATCGAACGCGCTGAACTGGTAGAATCGGTCAAGTGGCTGCTCCGATATCTCTCAGGGTTCCCAGTTGTTGGAGCAAATTAATTAATCATGTTGGCTACTGGCGCACCGTTTTCGTACTTCTAACTTCGTACGACGAGGATTCACGTAGCTGGATTTCACTTTTATGATTATAGCTATAATCATAAAAGTGAAATCCAGCTACGTGAATCCTCGTCGTACGAAGCTACCAAGGGTCTGGCAACATTGTAAGTATGTAACCTCGTTTTACTGGGCAAATTTTACCCCGGTGGAACAACAAATGCGCCCACGATGCTATCTGCATGCTATGATGATGGCGTTTGTTGCAGCTCACTTCATGATTTAGAACACGCTGCGAGGAGCTACATCTTGCACAGTCATGGATAATTTATGTTCTTGCTTCTTCGGTGTTTTCATCTTTCCCGGACACGACAGCCCCGCTCTTAAGGCTTTCAGCGTAGCCATCAGTACCAGTGCATCGACGGTGGGTTGCCACTGTGCGGCGACCGAAGCCACCATACCCGGAATATGCAGACCGTCATCAAAATCCATACCGGCATAGAACAGGACACCAACCAACTGCCCCAGTCCCATTGATAACGCCATGGAAACGCCAATACCCACCAAGATCCACACCGCACACCGCACTCCGACTACGTCGACGCTGTTCGGGAGCGGATTTCGATCCACGCCGACAGTAGATCGCAATCATTACCGGATACATCAGCAGCATGACGATAATTGGGGCGATGTACACCAGCACATCAGGAACGATAAACTGTGCACTTCTGCGTACGGATAGCGGATAACGGCAGTTAAATAAAGCCTCAGTTGAATTGTAACTTCGTAGATTAATGATAAATGTCGGAAGAAAGCAGATATGGGCCAATACAGCGCTCGACAGGTAAGAGATCACGGCCAACCTCGCTGTATGGTGATTTTTATATGATATCGGTGCGGAGATGGCCCACAATCTGTTGGCTGTAATAAGCAGATGTATGTAGAACAAAACTCCTGGAAACACAAACACAAAGTACTGAAAACTATTGCAGACAATTACTAAGCTGTTGGCAAACGCGCTGTTCCCGTGTTCCAGGATCAGCCAGAGAGGACCGGTGACAGTGGATATAACGATGTTAACTAGAGCTAAGCCGGTTACGTACACCATAAAGGAACTGCGCAAGTGCTTCTTCACGATCAGATATAAAATTAGCGCATTGAAAACTGATCCAGTAACGGCTGTAATCAATGGCATGATATAGTTCAGAATCTCTTCGGTTAATTTTGCAACAGGTTTTGTGATCACATTTGCCGAAGTACTAGTATTCGTGGAAAAGTTTGAAAAGTAGCCATAACACCGTACTGATTTCTGTATGTAATTAAAACCAGACTTAGCGTGTGCATTCTTCTAGCGTGTGCACGTAGCTGTGCATGCGTCGCTACCAGCACCCGACCAACTAAAGACATATGTTTTATTATCAGAATTCGTATGCAAGCAAACTGACTGGACGTCTCAAATTATTCTACACGATTTCGAACAATCCGGTCTGAAATGTGTACAAAAGTTCATGATTGGACGGTATATCCATCTGCACGTGAGTTACAAAACGTTTCGTAGACGAAACAGCAGCAGCTGTGCATTAGCTAGAGGTAGACTGGGCCCATACGGGATTAGCGACCTTTCGTCCAAACGTTTCTCCCGCGTTACTTGTTGACCCTAGTCAATTGAGCCCCAGCGCGACGTACCTTTTAGGACTCTTGTTAAGCGGCACAAAGTCAAGCCAAATCGCAAATTTCTTTTATTCTGCACCAATTGATTAACCAAACGCTCTACACAAGAGCAGAGCCTCGGTGACAAACTAGATGTTTTTTAAGTTTTTCTTGCAAAACACCATCATAAAAAATAATAACACGGCAACTAAGAAAAAGAACTGAATTTTACTAATGAGTTATTTTGTTCAAGGATTCTCATTCAGCCATGTCGGTTTCGGTGACCGCTTTCGCCGCACAGGGAAAAGCCAAAGACAGCAATGCCGATACATACTCATGCAATTAACTTCAGCGTTTTATCAATCAAGAAGACCCTTCCCGATTTCAAAGCCTCTCGCGGCACAGTTCAAATCATGAATACAGATCATCTGGATGTAGCCTGATCACGTAAAACAATACAAAACCCCGTTTGGACGCTTACGACAACAAAGTTTCAGTGAATAACTTGCCGGAAGCGCAAACACTGTAGTTGCACACGCAGATCTTTTAACGACGTAATCAGAATTGCGGCATCCACTGTCGGCTGCCACTGCACAGTTACCAAACCAACGAGATACGGAATCCGCAAACTACCATCAAGCTCCAGGCCGACCACAAACAGCACGTCAACTAACTGCACGAACCCCATCGAACACAGCATGGACACCGTCATTCCCACCAGAGTCCAGATTGCGCTGCGACTGTGTTGACGCTGGATGTCCCAATGAGTGGCACGACGGCGACAGTACACGACAATCATTACCGGATACGCCGTCAGCATCGCCACCGTGGGAAGGATATACACGATTACGTGTGGCAAAATAAACTGAATGCTGCGAAGGATGGAGAGCGGATGAAGACACTGGAACCGGGTATCAACGCGAGTGTAGTTGTGAAGATTAAGGAGAATTGTCGGCATGTAACCGAGGTGCACCAAAATAGCGACGGCACAGCATAGAATAACGGCTAATCGTGCGGAGTGGTGATTTTTGTAGGAAACCGGTAATGCGATCGCCCACAGCCGGTTGGCGGTTATTAGCAAGTGGACATAAAATAGCAGACCAGAGAATACAAAGGAGAAGTATTGGTACAGATCGCAGATGAGTAGATCAGTTTCACTTGCCCCATAACCAGGAACACTTATCATTAATATTAGCGGTAGAAATGTTACAGATAGAATTGCGTTAACACCGGCCAACACCGTGACGTATACCATAAAGGGAGTGTTTAGACGATTTTTGACAATAAGGCACAGGATAAAAAAATTTGAGGAGAAACCAGTAATGGAAGTGATCAATGGCATTAGATAATACAGTACCCAGCTAGTTGTGTCAACAGTTTCTTTGATAGTCGTTATGTTTGTAACATTGCTGCTGGTTAGGTTTACGAAATCGAACATAACGGCGTTTAAGTTTCCTATATAGCTGCATTAACAGTCTGATAAAACCTTAACAGGATAGCCAGTACTGTATCGCGAAAGTACACTGTAGTAAGCGTCGAGTTCGACCGTTTGGGCAACGACAACCGTATGCTACTTCCGTTCAATAACTCTGCTTGTGCATGTTGATTTAATGATTTGCGCTTGGGGACGCGTTCACTACAGCTAAGGATTCTGACATAGCGTCCCTTCGGGAATTAACAAAATTGCCAGGTTTACTGGCATTAAACAGGGAACTTACCGCTGAAAAATATAGCAGTTGATGGGATCTATCTACAGGTAGCTGGCGATCCATTACGTCGACCCTGGGTTATGATGTGCGATTGTTCTGATTGCTTCATCTGGAACTCCCCGTAACTGTAACACTCATTTGAAAATCCCAAAGAAGGTCAAAATTGAAACAAAGTCGAACGCCTAGAGAAGAATTTCTAAAATGGGCAAAAGATAGAGACTAAGGTCGTGGTAGCTAACCCAGAAAAAGACACTTTAAAAACAGCTACTGTATATACTCCTAACACCAGACGGACGCAGAAACAATTGCGTTATATGATTAGTCTACATGTACTCTGTAGTCAAGGGTTCGGAAATCAGAAATTAACAAATATTATAGTTATTGTGAAATATAAAGTGGACCAAAATGTCGTCTGAATCAAACTGCTTTTGTGAAATTAGCAGGGCGTATTACGCTGTTCAGATCATCCAGGGACATGGGTTTTGACTGCAACTGGTCCACAACCAAAGCAAACGTCAAAATCCCTCCAGCCAGCTACAGTACAAACAACCGGCCGAATCAGTTTACACTTTTCGTTAATTCAAACTATTCGTATGTATTAATTTACGACTGTACTCTCTATGCGCAAACCTGTATTACAAAAATGACTATGAACTTGCCGTCGCGATGAACGTTCTATCGATGGCGAAAAATCCACCTATATTAAAAACCACAGTCACCGAAGAGGACCGCTGGATGAGAAAATGCATGGCGAAACGGTCCCGTCGCGGCAATTGGTATCCGATGTCATGCAGAGAATCTTTGATTGCTTCGCCCTGTAGACGCAAAAATCCAATTGCTGAAAACTGCACGGTAAAGCGCACACTGCCTACTAGCTAAAGCTGCGTGGAAACGTTAAGCGGTCGAAATTCAGATGCGTATTACCTGTTCATACAGCCAGATAAAGTGTGGTGTACCGATAGCAGTGTACAAACAGGTACTAATAAAACTCGGCGGAAATTGATATACTCCCGTTTTCGCCCTAATTATGCAGCTGAGAATTGTGCAGACCACGTTGATATAGACGAAGAAAAAGGTAGAGGATAGAAGACGGTTAATTCTCTGTACCAATCGGCTGAGACTGTAATGTTCGTTCAGAATCTTTTCCACGGCAACCAACTCCGGCGGTGCTTGGTATAACGTGCTATTAATGTGGCCATAGCATTTCCCAGCAGCAGCACATAACAACACCGGGAAGCACTGAACTAACGAAAAGCCCGAGTTCATTAGGCCGTCCCCGAGGATCAGTATGCGCGAAAAAATTTGGGCAACTGGCAGCCCCGGTGGTAGACTAAAAAAGCTGCTGATTTGGCGCTCAAACACCACGACGTTCCTTTCGTTGGTATACATATATGTGGCACTAGTCACGATCCAAACGATGAAGATAATGGCCGCATAAAGGGCGATGACCTTTTGATCTTTGACATTCAGATGGTGGGAAAAGACATGCTCCAACTCGTTGATTGCTTTGACGTAGCGATTGTAGATGCAGTGAAAGCAGACGATGCCAAGAAATGTGACAATGCTCCGTTGAACGGCTGCTATAAAGTCAAACAGCACCCCGCTATCCAGCGACCCACGGTGCTGTTGAACAATTTTGTACAAAGACAGGATATTAGCCAGGGTGAACGCAGCCATCAGCAATACTGCCCAAGAAAATCGGAGTATTCCGAGAAATCGACCTGTTGATGATTGTTTGTTGAGGAAAGGGCACCGTAGTTGCCCGAAGCCGAGAATGCCGAATGCGATAACGTAGGGCTGAATCAGCTTCTTTGTGAAGCTCAGCTTGCTCCATCGGGCTGCCAGTTCCATTTTGCTCGAAGATAGTAATGGGGACTGGTAGATATTTCAAATTCTGACCGAGTTCCTAAGAAGCCAGGGCTGATGTTGCTATATTACAGACTGGAGGGAAGAACCAACTGCCGTAAAATACATGGTATACTAACTTCTGCACTTTGCAGTAGTCGGAATTTTGTGGGCAAAAATTTAGATCTGATGTCGCATTGCATCCCTGCTGTGCCAACTTAGCAAATGGACTCTTTTCGTGCAATTTCTTATTCCCTGCGTATGCCTCGGTAATCCCCACGGGATGTTATTGTGAAAACTCAATCAATCCATCGAGGACATTCGCCTTTCGTTCACCTTCTGTTTTTTGAATACTTGAGCGGTGGGTGTAGCCGATCAAAAATGTACTGCTGCAGGATGGACAGACGGTTAAAAATTCTATGTTACGAGTACATATTCATTACTGTATCTTTATTAGATTTTTATCTGTAAAAACACACTGACACGCTGTGTTGCAAACAGTGCCAACAATGCCTTTAAGTTGCTTACGAAAGCCAAGCCATATCACATCGTTTAGCGCGCGCGCTCAGAGCTTGGTCTTCACAACATTGTGAACAGCTCCAGCCGCCATGGTTAACCGGGATTCTCGCTCCTTCAGTGTTTTCCTCAATCCGCAAGATAGTCCCGTTCTTAGAGCTTTTAACGAAGCAATCAGCACTAGTAAATCGATCGTGGGTTGACACTGTACGGCTATCGAAGCCACCATACCCGGAGTCTGCAGACTGTCGTGAATTACTAGTTTATTGGCGAGCTCGCTATCGCATACTGACTCATCATATCGAACTGACAATACATAACACAATAGTCGTTGCTACGCGCTGCATCTCCCCCAGTGGGTTGCCCACTCATAAAACCATCAATAAAATAAAAAAAAGAAAATTACATTTCATTTATCAACAGTTTTGGGGCTTTTCCGGCGTTCGTTCTTCCAGTTCTGCGTATTTCCTCAGGTGGCTGTGCAGCCTTCGCAGCTTTCGCTGGTTTCACCTTACCGGATGGTGGAACTGTCGGCTGTACCTTTGGCGGCGCGACTGGTGCCGCCAGCGTCAGTTCCTGTGTAATGGGCGGAAAAGTTGGCTTTACGTCCGGCTGTACTATCACCTGGGGCTGTGGTTTCACCTCCGATTGCGTCTGCGTTGGTGGCGTCGGCGTGCGCGCTCTAGTAGGCGAGACTGTCTTTTCCATTACTTTCGCCGGAGGAAATGCTACCGATGTCTCCACGGCCGTTTGACCTTTTGCCGTATCTGCTTCCGTGTTTTCCGGCGTCTCCAACCAAAAACGAGGGCGTATTTGGTTTGCATGCCGCCTCCACAGCAGATCGCTCACCTGTACCTCCCAGATCAGCCGGCTTTCTCGCTTAATTAGCTTGCCGCTGATCCAATCCACTGCGCGGCTTGGGCGATAGTCTCGCACCACGACCAAGTCGCCCAACCGAAAGTCTTTCTCCTTTGTGTGCTGGTTGAAATTTCGGCGGTGGCGCTCCCTGATCTTCTCTGCCGTGGTCAGCAGCACAGGGACTAGCAGATCCAGCGTCGAGCGCATCTTCCGACCCAAAAACAACTCGGCCGGCGTTTTCCCAGTCGTTGCGTGAGGGGCGTTACGATAGCGCCAAAGGAACTCCCTCAGCGCAACCGGCAGGCGCTTCTGGTCGGCCATGAGCTTGGATACGCCGTCCTTCACCGTCTGGACGTAACGTTCCGCTTGGCCATTCGATTGGGGATGGCCCGGTGGCGTTCGCAGGTGCCGGATGCCGTACTGCTGGCAGAATCCGTTAAACTGCTCCGATGTGAACTGTGTCCCGTTATCGGATACAATTTCGGTGCACGGCCCGTAGTGGCTGAACATATCCAGCAGTGCATCAACTACGGCGTCCGTTGTGGCACTTCGCATTGGCACCACTTCCGGCCACTTTGACATACCGTCGACCACGACGAACAACATCGTGCCATGGAACGGCCCGGCAAAGTCTACATGGAGTCGTCTCCATGGTCCGTCGGGCACTGGCCACGGTGACAGTGGGACCTTCGCCGTTTCTCCTGCACGTTCAGTGCATACACGGCACGCTTTAGACACCCGCCCCACGTCCCGGTCCATGGACGGCCACCAACAGTACCCTCGGGCTTCACCCTTCATCTTTGCCGCTCCAAGGTGGCTTTCATGCAGGTACGACAGTATCTGCGCTTGCAGCTTCTTCGGAATCACCGTCCGCGTGCCCCAGCACAGACACCCGTTCACTGTCACCAGTTCACTTTCTAGCCGCTTATACGGTCGCAGCTCTTCCCTTACCACGCTCGGCCATCCAGTCTGGACGTATTCCAGAACGATGCTGAGCTCCGCATCTGCGCGGGTTTCCTTTGCCACGGATTCTACTGACACTGGTAACCGTCCCGCGTTCTCCGTGTGCACAGCACTGACTATGCTGTCCATTCCCAGGTTACCCAACTCGGTCAGCTCCGTGGAATGCAGTGGTAACCTGCTTAACCCGTCCGCCTGGCCGAACTCTTCTGTCCGCCGGTACTCGATGGCAAAACTGTACGCCATCAGCATCAACGCCCAGCGCTGAAGGCGGTTCGCGGTCACCACCGGTATCCCTTTTCGGCCTCCAAACACGCTCAGCAGCGGCTTGTGGTCCGTCAGCAGGGTGAACTCCCTCCCAGCAATATACTGGTGGAATTTCTTGCACCCGAAGACCAGGGCGAGAGCTTCCTTCTCAATCTGCCCGTATCTGGTCTCGGCGGCGTTAAGGCTCCGGGATGCGTGCGCAATCGGTCTCTCCGTACCGTCCGGGAACCGATGGCACAGCACCGCTCCAATGCCGTACTGCGATGCGTCGGCTGCTACCATCAGCGGCATCGCCGGGTCGTAATGCACCAAGAACGTGGCTCGGGCAATCTCTTGCTTCAACTCAGCGAACTGCTCTTCGCATTGTTTTGACCACGCCCATGTCACGTCAGCTTTCAGGAGGTTGTGGAACACATGACACTTTGCTGACAGGTTCTTCACGAATTTGGCATAGTGGTTCACCATGCCGAGGAATGCGCGCAGTTCACTTACGTTCTTCGGCGGACCCATATCCAGCAACGCCTTCACACGGTTTCTCGAAATGTGGCGGCCACGACTGTCCACGATGAAGCCCAAATACTCCACGGACAGTTGCATGAAATGACACTTGCTGCGCTTCAGCGTTAGTCCGTGCTCTGCCAACCGTGCCATGACCTTTTCGAGGTTTCGCAGGTGCTCTTCATCCGTGGCGCCGGTGACGATAATATCGTCAAGGTATATGGCCACACCTTCGCAGCCATGGAGAATCTGCTCCATAATTTGCTGGAATATACTGGGCCCACTGGCGACTCCGAACGGCAGTCGATTATACCGAAACAGTCCCTTGTGTGTATTGATAACCACAAGCTGTTTGCTGTCGTCGTCCAGTTCCACTTGGGCATACGCCTCGGCGAGATCCAGCGTACTGAATTTCTCTCCGCCGTTTAACTTGGCGAATAATTCGTCAGGAGTTGGAAGCGGGTACTTCTGAACGTCTAACGAGTCGTTCAGACCAGTGCTTAGATCGGCACACGTTCGCACATCTCCAGCCCTCTTCAGCGTCCCCACAATGGGCGCCGCCCAATCGGCGTGTTCGACTGGAGTGAGTATGCCGCGCTCCACCAAACGCTCCAGGTCCTTCTCGACCGCCTCCCGGAACGCGAATGGCACTGTACGGGGTTTGCAGAACACTGGCCGTGCTCCCGGTTTCAAATGGAGACGCGCCTTATACCGCTTGCAATGACCCAGCTCATCGCGAAACACTTCCTTGTGCCGGTCGAGGACTTCTTCCAGACTGCTCGCAACGCTATACACTGAACTAGCCTGCAGGTCACGTAGGCTCATGTGGCTCAGATCCAGGGCGCGTATCCAGTCGCGGCCGATCACATCGCCACCACGGCCCACTACCACCACCGGCAACTGCTTCCGTACGCTAGCGCGTTGCACGTCCACGGTGGCGGTCCCGATCACTGTCAGCGCATGGCCAGTGAAGCTCCTCAGCGGCTGCGTATACGGGGACAGTCGCGGCGAACCAATCCTCCTCCACGTCTCTGCCGTGACGATGGTAACGTCCGATCCCGTATCCAGCACTGCTGGCACTGGCGTGCCGTTCAACTTCAGCTGTATGCGTATGGACTGGCTGCCAGCCGCTTCCACTGCCAACACGTCGAATTCTTCTTCGACTAGCATTGTGCGTCGTCCGTCTCCACGCTGCTGGTTCTGCCTGGGCGCAGTGCAAATCTTCGCAATGTGACCTTTCTTGTTACAATTGCGGCAGGTGACATCCTTCGCCCAGCAGTCTGCACGGACGTGGCCTGAATTACCGCAGCCGTAGCATTTCGCACTGCTACCCGCCGCGTTCTGGCTTGCTCCGCCGCCACGCGCTTTCTGTCCCGTACCACGACGATTTCCGCGTTGACGACCTTGACCGCCGCCCCGCCTCGGCCCACCACTGATGCGCGCTACGTCCACACTGCCCGGCGCCTTCTTCGCGCTAGCCTGGGATAGCTCGAACTGTTCCACCAGCTCCAGAGCTTTATCCAGTGTGTCGTAGTCCTTCGACATCAGATGTCGCCTGGTAGCCTCTCCCTGCAGCCCGTTCAAAAAGGTTGCTTTCATGTTGTCCTCCAGAACGTCCGCTGGGAAGCTGCACAGGATGGCCTTTTTGCGGAGTTTGTTTGCGAAATCCAAAAGAGTTTCGCCCGTATCCTGCTTCAATACGAAATACTTGGCCCATTCGGTGGATTTCAGGGTCTTTTTCACGTATGCCCTTTCCAGTTTGGCGAGAACTTCTGCGAGTGTCTTGTCGGCTGGATCGTTCGGCAGGCACATAGCGTGTACCATTTCATAGGCTTCCACACCTAATGAGTCCAGCAGAACCCGCTTCTGCTCCTCTTCGTCGGTGACCTTTTGGAGTTTAATGAAGTTCTGGTACCGTGACCTCCAAGACATCCACGCCATCTTGTTGGGCTCGAACTTTAACAGGATAGGAAGCGTCGTTTCGTCCGTCATCGTCGTGAATCAGCGCGTGATAGATTCTTAAAAGAGTTTTTAGTACTACCTTCACGCCAGTTTGTCGTGAATTACTAGTTTATTGGCGAGCTCGCTATCGCATACTGACTCATCATATCGAACTGACAATACATAACACAATAGTCGTTGCTACGCGCTCCAACTCGTTGATTGCTTTGACGTAGCGATTGTAGATGCAGTGAAAGCAGACGATGCCAAGAAATGTGACAATGCTCCGTTGAACGGCTGCTATAAAGTCAAACAGCACCCCGCTATCCAGCGACCCACGGTGCTGTTGAACAATTTTGTACAAAGACAGGATATTAGCCAGGGTGAACGCAGCCATCAGCAATACTGCCCAAGAAAATCGGAGTATTCCGAGAAATCGACCTGTTGATGATTGTTTGTTGAGGAAAGGGCACCGTAGTTGCCCGAAGCCGAGAATGCCGAATGCGATAACGTAGGGCTGAATCAGCTTCTTTGTGAAGCTCAGCTTGCTCCATCGGGCTGCCAGTTCCATTTTGCTCGAAGATAGTAATGGGGACTGGTAGATATTTCAAATTCTGACCGAGTTCCTAAGAAGCCAGGGCTGATGTTGCTATATTACAGACTGGAGGGAAGAACCAACTGCCGTAAAATACATGGTATACTAACTTCTGCACTTTGCAGTAGTCGGAATTTTGTGGGCAAAAATTTAGATCTGATGTCGCATTGCATCCCTGCTGTGCCAACTTAGCAAATGGACTCTTTTCGTGCAATTTCTTATTCCTGCGTATGCCTCGGTAATCCCCACGGGATGTTATTGTGAAAACTCAATCAATCCATCGAGGACATTCGCCTTTCGTTCACCTTCTGTTTTTTGAATACTTGAGCGGTGGGTGTAGCCGATCAAAAATGTACTGCTGCAGGATGGACAGACGGTTAAAAATTCTATGTTACGAGTACATATTCATTACTGTATCTTTATTAGATTTTTATCTGTAAAAACACACTGACACGCTGTGTTGCAAACAGTGCCAACAATGCCTTTAAGTTGCTTACGAAAGCCAAGCCATATCACATCGTTTAGCGGGCGCGCTCAGAGCTTGGTCTTCACAACATTGTGAACAGCTCCAGCCGCCATGGTTAACCGGGATTCTCGCTCCTTCGGTGTTTTCATCAATCCGCAAGATAGTCCCGTTCTTAGAGCTTTTAACGAAGCAATCAGCACTAGTGCATCGATCGTGGGTTGACACTGTACGGCTATCGAAGCCACCATACCCGGAGTCTGCAGACCCTTATCAAAATCCATACCGGCATAGAATAGCACATTAACCAACTGCATCAGTCCCATGGAAAACGCCATGGACACGCCCATTCCTACCAAAATCCAAACCGCACTTCTGCTACGTCGCCGTTGTTGTAAAGTGGATTTTGATCCATAGCGACAGTAAATCGTAATCATCACCGGGTACGCCAGCAGCATGATGATAATGGGAACAATGTAAACCAGGACTTCGGGAACGATGACTTGAACGCTTTTAAGAACTGATATGGAATAATCGCACTTATATAAAGTCCCTGCCGGAGAATAACCGCGAAGATTGATTACAAATGTCGGCATGTAACAGATATGCGCAAGTACAAGGCTCAATAAGCAAAAGGTCAAGGCCAATCTGGTTGAGTGACGGTTTTTATACGAAATTGGTGCTGTAATAGCCCATAATCGGTTAGTTGTAATAACTAGATGGGTATAGAATAATGTGCCGGGAAAAACTAAATTAAAATATTGAAAGGTTGAACAGAGCGTTACTAAGTTGGTTGCGATTGCGTGATCACTAGCTTGAATTATCAGGAAAAGCGGAACGGTGACAGTGGATGCGATAACGTTAAACAGGACCAAACTGGTTACATATACCATAAAGGAACTGCGCAGACGATTTTTCACAATCAGATATAGGATCAGTGCGTTGGAAAGTGCGCCGGTAACGGAAGTGATTAATGGCATAGTGTGGTCTTTATTCCATTTGCCAAAATTATCGGTAGTGTTTGTGGTCATGTTTGCCGATGTAGTTAGGGAGACGTTTAAAGAAGTGGCCATAACGGAAACGTTGATTATGCTCCTGGTAAGTACGAGTCCGTTGAATGTCCAGGTAATAAGCGCTAGTCGCACCAGCACTGTGAAACCGTGGCAGAATTATAATACCGTACATTATAAAATATGGCAAACTCCGTATGCAAAAAACGCTGGTCGCAGCAGCACTGTAGCAGAATTACGGTAACATTACAAATGAGAGTCATCGTGTTTATACGAACCAATGCGAACTTGCGAAGTGTGCTCAGCCGACCGACATCAATCTGCCAGTACATTTATTTATTGGATGGAATTGGGTCTCTATGGGAGTTGAGCTACTGTGGTCCACAAGGAAGCTAACTAGTGTTTCGTTCGCGTTATTTATTGCCCCTTGACGGTACATCCCCGGGGTTACCATACCTGTTGACCCTCCGGTCGAGGGACAGCTAATAAAATATAATATTCTTGAGCGCAGCAAGTCGCAATTTGCTAAAAATTAGTAAACAATATTAAAGGCGCCTCTTTAACGACCTGCTGCATAATATACATGCTTTTCATAGGTCTCCGCTAGGAACGTCTTCCAGTAAATACGAACGAAACGATTTTCATCGAAAAGTGTGTTTGACCATGGGTTCTTGTATTCAGCTTTGCCGGTTTCGGAAGCCTTTATAGCTGCAAGGAAAAACACCCAAAAACCACAAGACTGGTCAAGTTCACGCGCATACTATGGGCAGCGCTGCTTTTTGTGACGCATACCTGTATTGCTGGGCATTCAGAAATCCCGAAATTCCACCGAACCGTACTACGTTTCACTAGCGGAGCGTTCTGCGTAGTCATTATCAATTTACAGCGAGTGGTTACTTCAGTTTTAACAATCCTCTGCTTCCTTGTGTTTATGCTCGATACCTGGAAAATATTATAAATATTAACGCGTTTGTTACTCGAAACTGCATTGGAAGGGACAAAGTCACGAAGTATTATCGTTTTGTTTACTGCTCTAACATTTGCGGGAACTCTATCGATTGTCGGATGCTACGCGATGTACTGGTACAGTCTGGATCTCTCAGGTTACGCTCCCCTTAAAGAAATGTGCGTTAGTATTAGTATTTGTCCGTTTGTCCAGGGCTTGATGGATGTCGTGTTTATTATGATCCAAGAAGTTACCATGGCTGTAAGCTTTGTTGCGGAGAAATGCTATGAGAAGATAACAGCGAATGTTATCTATGCGAAATGGGAGTTGGATGCTACAGTATCGATTTAGTCGACTAATGCAGAAGAGAAACGGCTATGTTTCGTATTATGCTGTGGGTGTACATATGCAGAGTGTTCACGATTTTTAATTACATTTCAAAAATAAAAGCCAGCGGCTATGCACACTCGGAGAATTTCTACATTGTTCCTCTGTTGACCATAACCGGCACTTGGACGATCGTTTATTTACACGAACAGGTAGTCAGTCACGTCACTCATCGCAATAATTTGAAGCTGTAGCAAGAACTAACTACAGCTATGGTAAGTAATATAGTAAGTACACTTCTGTACTTGGCTGTAGCCAAAACGGTATTTGTAAAAATAAACACTGTAAAAATGCTGAAAACGTTTTCGGAGTGCATTTTCGTTCAGTAGCTGCGCAACTAAGCGCGCAATTATTGGATCCAGTACAGTAAAAAATTATATTTATATCGCTTCTCATTATTAGGCGGAATCGGGAATCCGTGAAACAACTCCTCCACGACATCGCCTATCGGCTGCCGCACAATCAACGATGGTCGATGCAGTTCATCATCAGCCGCGTTAATTCAGTGAACACGGCATTTAGTATACGCGGGTTTTTCACGGTGAACCGGGCGTTCGCAGGAACGCTAAGCAAACCCGTATTCCCTATAATTTTACACAAAGACGAATGGCAGTGGTAATTTTTTAGTTGGCTGGTGGATTCTGACGTTTGCGCGGGTAATCGATCAGCTGCAAGCTAAAGGTATTTCCATGGATGAGTTATCTGGTGTATTACATACTTCCTGCAAGTTTAATTCAAGCGTCTGAGTTCAACTTGAACGTACTGCACAACAATACAGCGACAACAAAAACGATAATAAATAGCGTACAATACACAGCGACCGGTGTAACAGACTTTGCGATCTCCACTCTCCCTGGCCCTTTCTGGTATTTGATCAGAGCACTGTTGCGCTCTCGGTTTGGTACATCGATTTAATTTTATTCTGTAGAAGTTCAACACAATTCCTGCTGGGCTCTTTTACTTTTGCTATTTTGTCAAAGCACTGTACTCTAGTACCCTTTTGTATGTTCGTCCATACTAAAAAAACATACTCATACGAATATTGCCGTTTGCATGTTTTGTACTTGCACAAGAGGTTTAAATATTTTCTACTGATTTCAAAGTACACTAAGATTCAGTAATACATAGCGTGATGGACTGATGGCGATCTATTTGTCGATTGATTACCAATACTTGCGGTTTTTACCACTGTTCATTAAAATTCAAATATGCACACAGAAAGAAAAGGCAGGACATACATGTTCAGAGTCTGTTCGTATTCCCGTAAAGCTATCCTTTTGGGGCACGTTCTTAGTTTGCTTGATGAATTGCGCTGTCTAAATAGGAAAGCCCATGTGGATAACCACCACGCAGAGAGTAAGGCAAGCCGGCACGACACTCCTAGTTTTCGCCAGCTAGCACAACACATGTGCGCTGGGACATTATATCAAAATTACTTTCGGCAGCCTAAATATCGCCGAACGTACTGTACGCTTTACAGCAGTGAGTTCGCCACTGTAGCCTCAGTAATAACGGCTTTAATTTACTAGTAGAACAGTGAGATTTATTATTCAACGTCTTCAGCGCCAGCTATGAAGACAATGAAAGTGGCGGCCAGGTGGAACAAACTAAGCGTCGCGGAGAAGCTGATTCAGCCCTACGTTGTCGCGT